TACCCCACGAGGCGAAGCATCTCTTCCGCCTCCGCCTCGGTGCGGTAGTTGTACACGCAGCGCTCGACGCCGCCGTGGCGCTGGACGGAGAGCGTCATGGCGTACAGCTCCTGCGTCACCAGCAGCGCCGGCGCGAGGAGCGCGACGCGACGCACGGGCAACCTGCTAGCAGCCGGCGCCGAGCCGTTGACGTGCCGCGCTGCGAGCGCGAATGCTGTCGCGCCGCCCATCGAGTACCCCACGAGGTCCACCGGCACGGTGCCGTCAGACGCTCCAACGGCCGCGCAGAACGCCTCGACGTCAGACATGTGGTCGTCGAGCGAGAGGCCCTCCCAGCTGGAGCGGACCGCCCATGCGTGCCTCTTTCCGTGGCCAGCGGCGTCGGGAACGAGGATTCGCACACCGGGCGGCTGCCGGCTCGCGATTGGGACGACGGCGGCCGCCGAGCCGAGTGCATCGGAGGTCATGCCGTGCAGAAAGACGACACACCGTTCGGGAGGGTCAGTGGTGCTGCGGCGGGAGAGATAGGACACCTCTTCGCCAGACGGCATCCGCACGCTCCGTCTAGTGAAGCCTGCTTCCTCGTAGGCGGCCTGCTGCGGCCCACGGATGGCGGCAGCGGCGGCGGCGATGGCAGCAGGCATGGCCGCAGGCACGTGGGCGTGACCTCGGACTTGGCGCAGCAGCATGAACCGTGCTGCGCGTACTTTTTCAATGTATGTAGCTCTTACGAACATAGAGCTCTACCCGTAGGTGAACTGCTGACAGGGTTTGCGATCCGAACGTGGTATTCGGTCGATTAGATCACTTTTTTTGCGCGTCAAAAGTTTCTTTGTTAAGGTTCTCGGCTGTCCTATGGCCGAGCGTGCGCCGACGATTTTCTTTTCTCTTTCTGACCGTGTTGCGGATACACAACACCTTCTCGTAGCCGAGCTCTATGCCGCCGGAGGACTCGATACGGCAGCGGCTCGAGAAGGCCGAGCAGGAGAACGCCGAGCTCAAGCGCTCGCTCTACGAGCTCTCGATGCGGCTGAGCGCTGCCCTCGCCCGGCCCAGCGCGAACGCAGACGCGCCGGCGGCTGAGCGCAGCGCCGGCGAGCGGGCTGTGGACGAGTCGCATGCCATCGCCGCGGCGACGGCGATGGCCGCAAGCTCGCGTGGCGACGGGTCGCCCTCGTCGCGCTCCGGCCACCACAAGCGCGGCAACGGCGGCGACGGCGGCAACGGCCGCGGGTTTGAGCCGCTGTTCGACCTCAACGGGCACAGCGGCGCCGTGTACGCCGTCCGGTTCTCGCCGACCGGCCGGCTCCTCGCGTCGGGATCGTTCGACCACACGACGCGCCTGTGGAGCCGCGGCGGCGAGCCGGTCGCCACACTGCGCGGGCACAGCCACTCTGTGACGGACCTCTGCTTCTCTGCCGACTCGGCGGCGGTGCTCTCGGGCTCGTTCGACCACACGGCGCGGCTCTGGGACGTGGGCCGCTCGCAGTGCGTCTCCTGCTTCGACGTGGGCGGCGCCTTGGTCCTCTCCGTCGCCTGTCGCGGCGACCTCTGCTGGGCGGCCACCTCGAGCGGTGTGCTACCGGCAGTGTGCGACCGGCGGCATGCAGCCGCCTCGGAGCCTTCTCGGAACCTTCCTGCAGGCGCGCTGCTGCAGTACGACCGGCGGCGGCGCGGCGAGCAGCCGTGCCTCTCCGTGCAGAACGAGAGCCTGCTGCAGGCGGTCGCCTCCGCCTCCGACGAGGAGGTGCTGACTGGCGACCGGAACGGGCTGCTCAAGGCGCGGCACACCCTGCCCGCAGACCTGCCCGCAGTCTCGCAGAGTACTGCATCCTGCTGACCGTGTGACGGGCCGCTCAAGGCGTGGGATGTGCGCACCGGCCGCTGCAGCAGGCAGCAGCGCGTCGACGACTCGGGTGGGCCGGCGCGCCCGATCTCGCACCTCGAGGTTT